CCCCAAAACCCCAAAACCCCAAAACCCCAGAGGAGATCTTTAGATTGAAACATCACACAGGTGGTATATTATGGACCAAGATCAAACAGTATTTTAAAATCTGTTATTATAACATCAAAATCGCTTTCTTTGCATTCAAGAGCTTCCAAAAGAGCTTCTTTTGATAGGCCCTTAGTGGATTGATTGAACTCAATAAAGTTGATTAAGTCCTTAAAAGATGAATCAAGTATTCCTTTCATAATGTCTGGGATAAATCTAAGTAGATCATTTTCTTCTTGTATTCTTGAATAGCATCGAAGGAAAATAACATTATTCAAATTTACAGGTGAGGGGTAATAATTCTTGAAAGTGGCGCTCCATCTTTGCTCAGAGATCACACATCGATTAAAACAGATTTTTTCCAAATGTCTGCCTCAGACGATGATTCTCTGAAGATGTGTTGGTCCAATTTCTAATTTCCCAAATTCTACTCATTTTGTAAACTTAGAAAGGCCTGCCAATACATTGTTTAATCCCATATTTTGAATTTTACAAGGAACTGAACCAAGAATATGAAGTTCCCATTTTTCTATCCCTTGCACATTTTTGTGAGCCTAAACGATTTATTGACCAAATACCTCAAGAAGTCTTGAAACCAGCTTCGAATAATTCTTGTTTTTAAACGCGTATGTAAAGAGTACTGAACTATATCTGAACAATGATCCAAATTTGGCATATGCGGATATAATTTTTGAACTTTGTGAGTAATCAAAAACAAATTTATTTAAATCAGTAGACTCTATAATATTGAGAGCATCTCATTCTTAGATTTTAGAACATCCATTCAAATCTTTGAATTAGCAACTTCTTCTTTAAGAATGTCATTTTCTAACAAACTTGAAGCTGAGCTCTCAATCTTTTGATGAGTGGGACCAATAGCTTGGGTGGAGGCTTTAGATTCCATAATTATTTATTTCAATTTGTTATAAAAGAGCTGGGGTTTTGGGGTTTTGGGGTTTTGGGGTTTTGGGG